AATTTTTCTATCGAGAAAAAGTTATATCGCGATACATATCGTTATCGTTCTATCGCCCAGCTCTAATATTGATCTAATATTACAATCCCAAAACTTAACTGGTTTCTAACACTGTTTTCAACACATCTCTGCAATGATGCCACTGATTCCCACATTAGGGTTTCCACCACAAAACCTACAGGCTGCTAAGAGTGTGTGTAGTTTTACTCACAGGAGGACAGAAGTGCGAGACGGAGAGAGACAGACACTCATTTCTAATTTCCGCATTCAAGGTAAGATGTCTCTATACCACAAGGCGAGCACTTCATATTTAACCTCTTTTACAAATTGTCGGGCCCGTTTATGAGCTGAACAGGTGAAACATTAAGTCAAATTTTAGACAAGTTCTTTACTAACTTTTCTATGTCTAAAAATGGTCAAGTGGACTTTTAATACACTGGAGAAATCCTTGCACATGCTGACAAAGTATTCCCTGCATTCTGTTATTTCACAAAACGCCTGAAGACATGGGACAAGTACAAGAGCACTGAATCAATCAATATAGTCTGCATGTAAATGAATGATGAGGAATGTGAAAACACTTCTCGGGTAACCACTACAAACACAGTTTAGATTAAGGAAAGTTATTTCCCCTCAACTATACCAACAATACTCTACATTTCTAACATGATGACTCAGTCACCTGCCAGGAGCAATTTATTAGAGACACAACATAAATTCTACCACATTCACACAGGAAAGTCTGTCACAGCAAGGATCAGCTAATTTCCTAACGTGGTAAACACTTCTCACAGGGTGTCTCAGTCGTTGGTCAGCCACCAACTCGTCAACAACATCACATGCGCAGTTAGTCACCGAACATGTGCTCTTTGGACTAGCACACTACATGTTACCTACTAACAACAAAGGTAGAAATAAGGATGCGAGTCAGATCAAGGCTAGACACACTGATGAGGAAACGAGCACTTGTATGGTCAAAGAAGCAGAAGATTAAGGAGGGGGGAGGAGAAAAAAAAAAAGTTTCCTACGTGGTATAAAGCGTCATCAGAAAAGACACCCGTTAAGATCCAGTGACAATGAAAAGCACCATGTTACGTACTTGTTTAACAGCCAACACCAGATGTAAACAAAAATAGATAAGCCTGTACAGCCACTTTTCCATCAGTAGATATACCACTGACTGTGAGTTTAGCAGGATCACTCATTGTTTAAGAAAAGCTTTTAACATGATATACCCATAAGATAAGAAACAGTTTTACTGCTTTTGGCAGCGTCTTGTCTCCGACTGACACAACAAACTTTCAGGCAAGTGAAACAACACTTCTTTGACACCAGTGCGAGAAAAGAACAGTAAAGGAAAGAGCCTTTGTTACAGTGAACCTTATCTTCAGTTCTAGATAAGGTCTGTTGTAAATGATCACATGAGGAACTTGATAACCAAAATGCCATGACAGGCCTTCAATACCTCCATGAAACCAGTGTACTGTAAGAATACTATACACACTTCTGTTAGTGATATACAAAATACTCAATACACAGCTTCTCCCAATGAGTGGAACTGTATCGACAAGAATACAAAATTAGTGTACACAAACACCTTTGGGAAAACATCCAAAATTCTGGCAATTCTCTGCTTACACTATATATACTTTGAGTCAGTTTCATTACCAATACCTGAATAATCTTCTCCAAACAGCTGAATATCAGCTGGTAGATAAAGGGCCCATAACATTGACAAGCAGGGGAAGATGGAGCCTAGTCTTTGTTTACATTTTATTACAGCTGGGAGAGCCTTTAAAGACCGATCTGATAAGGTTTCTGTTTGCTTGACTGACAGCTCTAAATACCTAATTCAACGGTTCAGTTTTAAATCACCCTGGAAGACATTCATGTGCCAGCCACTGACACCACCTGTGAGATTGAAAAATTCAATTGCAAAACACTGTGCCCGAAATGGACGTATAGTATTGAAAATGAACGTGTAATTGTACCGCAATTGTGTATGTATTCGCACAGTTATGGTTGCAGTAGCCTTTGACACCTCCACGCACGTGAATTTTGAGTTTAAATAATACTTTTCATTAAGTAAAAATCTGTTATCATGACATCCATAGTTAGTATCTCAACTTACTACTAAATATTATCTCTGACAACACTCCACCTGGTTCAGTAAGTTTGTAAAGTTATGTTATGAAATCTAAGATAATCTACACAGATGCATAAATATTTCCGATTCACCTCTAAACTGTACTTTATAGTCAATTACGTTCCAGTGAGAAGTTGCGGATTTAATCTAGGGCATTTTACTAACGACACTCGATCCCGGTCTTATTGCTTGTCTACCTGAGCGTTGCCTTCATGGTGCCCTGAGACTCAACCTGATTGCATCTCCTGACACCATTTCCCAGAGCGGTGAATGACGAACACTAACAGCAAGTCGACAGGCTAGGACAGACCTGCTGAAATTCCTCAGAGTAGTCCTGAATTTATCCCGGATCTTGACGGGATTAAATTACAGTGGAGTTAAGTGAGGACACTAATCTGATTAATGAAGCGGCGAGAAAATGAAAACGCCAATATGTTGATAAGTACGGCGCGCTAATCCGTCCTATACGGTGTAGGCGCAACAAAAGATGCGAGTGTTGCTATTGCGGTGCAGTTATTAATGGCTGGTTTTATGAATAGTATCAACACTTATAGACTGACAGCTTGAAATGTACTACACCGCTTTCTAAAGCGAATAAATTAGTGCCAAGCGAGCTACATCGCAAAGGGGCAAAAGCATATGATGCGAAACCTTCCGAAAACACAGCTGCTCAAGTCTGTTAATACAGTCCAAAACCTGTTGTTTTAAACCAACAATGCTCTCACAGCCATTACTAAACTACAAGCACTGAGACAATACATTATCGTATAATTCCACATTTAAAATCAACCGCATTAATGCGAGACTTCAAGTGGGACAACCTGAGAATGGGACCTCAGCGATACAACGCTAGAGCTAGCGTTAGCATGCTGTGTGGGGCCCCGCAGAGAAGCAGTAACTTGCGCAAACAAAGACACTTACCTGAGTTACTGTCGGGTCAGCGTCTCATTTAATGATATCCAGCTTATGTGCAGGCTGATACTACCCAACAAACACCTTGAGAAGTGGGCATTAGCTGGTTTCACTGGTTTGCTTCACGGCAGTTCAATTGGGTCTGGCTAGTGTTAGCAGCTAGCTAATATTGCCTTACTTAGAGAGCAACTCGAAGCTGGCCCAGTGCGTACATTCTCCTCAGCGAGCCGCCCTCAAGTTTAACGTTGTCCCTCTCAGTTGTTTTGAGACATAAAAATATTGCCTTGTGGCACTGCCAGACTGACCGACGACGAAGACAAGAGCAAAAATGGTCCTTAACTGATGCAAATTAATGACACAACATTAAAAAAAATCCAAAATGTCCACTACATTCAGCAAGGAAATACAAAAGGCAAAACTGCGAACCACCTCCGGCACAGCGAAACCTTTCCCTCTAAAGTGTGCCGCACCCAGATGTTTTCGCTCATAATTTCCAGGTCTTTGCTCATTTACAATAGGCGCAGCTCTACAGACTGGAACGAAGCTACATTGAGGCTGTGGGGAACAGCACGAAGTGGCGAGTTTCTTCTCTGTGACCTCCGCGGGTACATGGAGAAAGCTGTCCACCAGTAGTCGCCTTTCCAGCCTCACCGAGCCCCGTGGACGACGCTTTCACTATCTCACCCAGACACTACTAGTGATTCCGCTTATCTTCCTCTGTGCATTGACTTATTGACACTGTTTTCCCTTTCAAATAGGCTACAGGATATTCACACAGACTGCAAACACGTATACAAACCAGACCGACAAGGTATTTTATTAACCCATTTACATATAACGTACAAAAAAAGGTGTTTGTACGCTTTGCAGCAGCCTTCGTCGTTCTTGTTATGTCGTGGCGCCCTCTGGCGTAAGTAGAAGTTTTTTGCATTTCACTGGAAATTTAAATTAAATAGAATAACATTGGCCTTTTTTCTAATTATTTTTAATGGAGATTTAAAGATAGCCAAAGATATATCCATTAAAATAGCCAAGTGCCTTTCAAGCGTAGAATTTTCCCCATAATGTTTGAAACTTAAAAACAGGTGTGTTCAATGTAAAAGGCTTGAACAGTCTAACTTCTAGTGTTAACCCTCTAAACGACTTAATGAAATTGTCAGGCCACCAAGAGTAGGTAGCTGATAAATGTAATATTATGAGGCAGCAGAAAGAAACAGTTGAAAAGAGGATTTTAACTATATTGTGAATCTAGTAAGGGTATGTTAGCTTCTATGCTTGGATACCTGTAACTAAAGCCTGCTGTTAGTATTTTTGTACCACTGACATAGTATCTGATCACTGCATTGAAGGAAATTCTGACATGTCACAGCTTAAGTGATGGCATAAGTAATGAAATTAATGATGACAATGTATGTTTCCAAAAAGAACTATTGTGGAAACCAGATTATTCATATTCTTTAATATAAAGAAATGTCCATTCTTCATTGCACGAGTGTCAAACATAAGGCCCAGGGGCCAGAATCGTTGGAAGGACTCCAACTCTGCCCACTGGACGGCTTTGGAAAATGTGAAGGGGGGCTTAAATTATGGACATGAGTTCTACAGCAATTCCTACTTATAAATAACTCCACCATGGTCATCCATACAACACCAAAGTAATTATGTAAAAGAAAAACATTTAAATGACAAAAAGTAGTTCCCATTTTTCAGTATCTACAGTAGAAATGTTTTTTTTTCAATGGGTTCATAGTAAGACAAAATAAAGAGAAACAGATAATTTTCTCTGAACTAACAAAAGCTTTCTGCCTTATAATTACAGGACAGTCCTGGCAATGAGCAACCAGAACCTTTTCTGTAAATTTATACATTTCTTACCATTTAAGCCCAAAGAATTGTGCTGGCAGATGCCTTTTATTTCCTACGGCACAATTCTTTTATCATGTAGATAAACTGCACTTCTTGTTCATATATGAAGATATCTGATGGATTTAATGTGTAGTTAAACTTCTTTACCCTGACAGAAAGTTTCACTGGTCTGTCTCCCTTAAGATCAAATGAAGTTGTATGTGGCCCTTGAAATAAAATGAGTTTGACATCCCTGGTTTATTGTTTTAGTAACACCAGGACGAATTAAAAAGGCTGTAAAATACACTGAACATGTCATGACGAGGTCCTGTCGTGATCTACTGTACATTTAAACAAAGGCAGACAGAACTCTAGCGTGAAATCCTGAAGATAGTAATAATACCCCATTTATCAACTGAAATGTACCTGCATCCAGATATAATATAATAATGACAAAAACAGTTAAAGAGAACATCAGTTTACATTGATGCTTCTTGTGAGTTAACCAGTCCTTTGCATTGGAAAAAAGCATCCTGACACGGCGCACGTCCGAGGAAGGTTTTCACCATGTCCATCCCATCCACAGAGCCCCCAGCTTCCAGTATCACTCTTCTGTACTCTTTTCCAACCTGTGTTTAGGGCATAAATGCACATATAAAGACAGTTTCAAGGAAAATAAGACACATCATTAGAGTGAAATGTTCATCCAGAAAACCAACCTTTGGATTCATAATGCCTTCCTTTTTAAAACGACTGAAGAAAATGTCCATGGAGTAGACTTCGCTCCATAGATAGCTATAGTACTGACCATCATATCCACCAGCTAAGTGGCTAAAACTGGCTGTCATGTTGGTTCCTGCAGAGAGCAGATCTTTGTTACAAATCACTAATACAAACTCCAAAAAAGAAAAATGATATTGTCTATGTGCTTCATACAAAAAACTGAATACAAACTGCTAATGCCCACAGTGGACTGTTTATTATAAAATGTAAATCCTCATCACTGATAGAAAGCTTAATGCAATAATTTCTCAAATATATTCTAAATAGCTGAAGCTAAAGCTGACCTGGTGTAGCAGGAATACCCAGGATGTCCTGGCAGTGCTTTGCAAACACCTCCGCAGTGTCTGCACGTGGGCTGGTGTGAAGCGACTGGTCCACCTTACTAAGGACTACCTGACGTAGGTTCATAAGCCCTGAAGTGAACACATCAACAGAGGCTCTTCACTTACACATAAATGTTACACAGACTTTCTTTGTGCAAAGTTTGAGTGTCTGACCAGTGTTAGCAACTCTGGAGGCAATCAGTTTGTCGAGCAGCTCGTCTGGGATGGAGGTGCCATCTTTGTAGTGACGGGACATTCTTCTCAGAGGCTCCTTTTCCCAAACCCAGTTCTCAAGCATTTGAGACGGCACCTCCACAAAGTCTGTCTCCACCATTGTTCCGCTGAATTCTGAAAAAGCGGTCTGACGCATACACAGAAAAACTCATTCTTATTCATTAGCACACAGTATACAAATATCACTAACTTCCTGACTGAATACAGCAACTTACATTTGAGCAGATTTCGTGCATGACATGACCAAACTCATGAAAATAGGTCTCCACTTCATGGTGTTGGAGGAGAGAAGGACAATCTTTCCTGGGCTTGGTGAAGTTTGCCACCATGGCTGCAACCGGTAGCCTGCGCTTTCCATCAGGGCCTCCGCAGCCAGGCTGGAGCCCAAAGCAACCTGCGTGGCCATATTTTCCTTCCCTGGTGAAATGTCACAGTCAGGCTGAAGTCTATCACACAGATCAAGAGCTCTGGTCAATGTTAGTGAGCTCACACTTCATAAAAACATCAAACACAGGATCTTGTCTTGTCTCTGAAAAAAATGACACATAATCTACCTTGGATGCAGATCCAGGTAGAACTGACCAATCTCCTCCCCCGTTTCAGTGTCCCGGGCTGAGTACAGCTTGACATTTTCATGCCACACGTCAGCCTGTTCCACCTCTGTGAATGTGAGACCCAGCAGCTCCTGGTAGATACCAAACAGCCCTTCTGTCACCACATCAAGAGGGAAATACTCGATCAGTTTGTCCTTGTCCACAGCAAACTTGCGCTGCTCCACTTGATTCATGTAGTAGGGCAAGTCCCAGGCATTAATCTTCTCATCAAACTGGTAGCCCTTCATCAGGCACTCCCTCTTCTTCAGCGCAAGAATGTATTTCCTCTCTTTGATTCCCACGGGCTTCAGTGCTTCATGGAACTTGTCTATAAAGGCAGAAAAAGAAAACCTCCTTAGTCGTAATGTGAAGCATGCAATTTCTTTGAACCTTTTGCTGTCTACTTTCTTATCTTCTTTTTAAAGCCCAAATCAAACTAACTCCCTTTGCACACTCAAAAAAAAGAAGATGAAAGTTGAGCATTTTTGTAGAGGAAATCTGTTTCAAATCTGCAGATGCTGAATATTCAAAATTTGTTGTTTGCATTGAAAACTATTTCTGCAGCTCTGGGTTCCTGTGTGATATTTTTTTGAGTTTTGGTTCCTGTTTTGATTCTATTTATGTCATTTCTTATGTTTCTATTCTTCTTCTTTCTGTAGTATCCCACCGCTTCCTTGTCTTTGTCTCTTTGTTAGTTCCCTTGTCTTTCTAATTTACACTTCCTGTTTTTACTGTGGGAAAAACGTTTCCTTGTGCCTCGTGTACTTTAACCTTTTGCTTTTGTTCCTATTCTATGATTTCTTCTTACTGAGCATCTCTCTGTGCGTGTATACAGTCTTGTCTTTTTCCTTTGTTGGATTGGAATTTTAGTGCTTCTTGTGGTCCTTTTGTGGGCTCTGGTTTTTGCGATTAAAGACATGCTTTTAGTTGTTCAACCTGATTACAGCCGTTGATTATACTACTAATTATAAAAAGCTGATGTTGTGTAATTTGTCATTAGTAACTGATTACATTTCACCTTGCATATTATGTGACTGCGTGTGGAGCTGCACAGCCATTCATCTGTCCTATTGAGTTTCTTTTCCTACTTTAAGGCAGTTATCAGGAGGCGGGAGAGCTCATCTTAAATGACAGGGAATGTTTCCATGTGGATGTGTGTGCCAGCGAGGTCAGATGTCAAAGAGACCATACCCAGAAAGTCAGACACGTTGCTTGCATTTTTAGCCATGTTAATCTCCAGCACATACTCAGCATGGCTACCGTAACCAAGTAAGCGTGCAACCTTCGCCCGCAGCTGTATCAACTCTTCTAAGATTGCCGTGTTTACCGGGGGGGGAAACAAGAGACGCGGATCAGTGAAATCATTTAGGCTTATTAAAATGAATGATAATGTTTAGGGTTTCCAGCCTGAGTAGATTCTGTGACACATTTGGTAACCAGCAGTAATTTGTGGTTTCACTGAGCAGGTTCTCTGGGCTGCAACTTCAGCCCACTAAAGACATGGGATATGCAACATTGCTTGTTTCATTAATGTGCTAAAGTGACAGCAATCGCTGATTGTATCCTTGTATGTCATTTAGACATACGAGCAGGTGACAAATGAAAGGAAAAAGCTTCCCAATGTGGCTTGAGTAGTTACCACAACAACACCAGGGCCTGTTGTCCGCAGCTTTTTATATCACACATTTTCTCATTTCACCTGCACATGTGTATGGATCCATAGCTGTCCAACATCAACATGACTTGTAGTTATTTATTTTTTTTAAACTGGAGTGTTTATTGAACCTTCAAAAAAAAAAAAAAAAGAAAGAGTTTGTATCATTTTTGGTATATGAGCATTATTGCTCATAGTATGCTTATCCTAAACAAACAAAAACCTATAAGTGGCCAAAGAATCAGATGGTTAGAGGTCTTAGAAACTCATATATCAAATATGATCCGCTTGGCGTTACACGGTATAAATATTAATCATCAGCCTGCGGTTTACCTCTTTACACCTGCTGTTAAAAGCCATTTCCATCTTTCTCCTTGTTTCAGGATTATGGCACCTCTTCATCAGTGGATAGTAATGGGGATATTCCAGGGTCACTTTATACCGTCCTTCAGCCGTCTTATCCAGTCCACTGAGAAAAGTGGCAGCTAGCCCACCTGAGCAAGTATGGCACAAGAGAATCAGTGAATACGGTTAAAGCGTGGCTCTCAAGGCAGCGTTTCATGAGTTTCACGTATCAAACACACCTAATTCGTGCTCAGAAAAAATAAGAAATTTGCTCTCCTCGTTCAGATTCTTGTTAAACTCGATGGAGAGTTCACTGATGAGCTTGGAAGTTCTTTTTATTTCCTTAGGAGAGAGAACACAGAGCGAAAGACATCACAGAGATTTTAATTTTTTACTATCTAATAAGATAAGCAAAGATTTACAGGCACTTTCTATGTGATTCTATTTGCTTACTTCTTCGTTTCAATTATGAAACACTGGAATTAATCTCTAAACTCTTTTAACCTGTAACTTTAACAAACGACTTCCATATTAATAATCAGATCACACATTACATTACCTCTTGTATATCTTTAGACAGGTGCAATCCTTTCCTCTGGCCCAGTGTAACAAGTCTGTCCAGGAATCTTTTTTCCTCAGCTGAAAGGTTGTCTTTCTGTTTATTCTACCAAAACACAATCATAACACTAAACATCTTCTCATACAGGTAGAATAGCAGGCATTCTGCTAAATTTATTCACCTATTTATATATTGCATGCCAGGGAGCCAGCACAGCATGAAATAACATATGGCACTGGCTGCCACTGATCAGATGAGATTACATTTCATTTCCAGGCTATTAAGAACCAGTAGTCCTTGCGCCTCTATGATCTGTTGGCCTCTGGCTGACATGAAGTGTGAAAATAGTTTAAGATTTTCTTAAATGCAGCCAATCCTCACACACTAGCCTTATGATTAAGACTGCTTTAACACGTCATTATCTGTGTGGCCCCATAAAGGTATCAGTTTTTACAAAAGTCCTCACTTTACTTGAAGTGAATGTGGCTCGAGTCGTACCTGCAAGGCAGTGATTCGTTTGAACACATCTTCCCGCATGTTTATCTCCACGTCCAACTCAGACAGTCTCTTGTCAGCTTCGGTGCTTGCTGATCGCAGCTCCTTAGAAGGACAAACATACTGAGGGAAGGCGAGAACGTGGTGTGATGCTAAGGGAGCAAAGCAACAAAAAAAAAAAAAAGCAACGGTGAACGTTACAAAAATAATAGAACAATAAAAAAACAACAACAAGAACAACATTTTATGCAAGAATTCAAATCCATGAATAGGTTGGTTTCTATTCAGCTAAAAGCCTTTGTACTCCTTCCTAATGAAGACAAAAAATAGAAGAGAATACCTAAATTAGATTTCTGATAATGGTACATAGTTTAAGGGCGTAAAATATTCCAATATCAATTAATTTTTTAAAAAATGTGTAAACACATATACATGCCAGAGTGACGTAGTAGCTCATCAGGTTCATGATCAATCACAGTTTGCATGTTACTGCCTGTAAACCCACAAACGTGACCTTGACTTTGAGCACAAATTGGGTGAAGCTCTATTAGCTGACCATTGCATGTAACTTTGAATACTGTGGGAGCAGTAATCATTCATGTGAGCTATGGATGGATGGATGGATGCCTCGCCATTATATAAACTCATCAGGCCTTGGATAGGAAATGTCACTAATTAGTTCAGGAAGTGTAACAGGAAGACACAACTTGACTCCACACCACAGTCTGCTCAGGTGTGATGCTACTCTTATGCTGCAGACAGTGCTAGGAGTAATGTAAGCAAAGAAATTGCTGCAAGAAGTAAAGAATCTTCACATGTGCAGCATAACTCTCTGTGATATCACCGATACCTGATGCATTTTACCTGCCAATACCCTGATACAGAGTCCATGTAATGTGCAGTACTTTGCATGTTAAATTATTTATATATATATATAT